GCCTCTGACTTTTGTACGGTTCTACATGCTTGACGTGTCTGGACCGTGCGTGGCCAGTGCGGTCCTAGAGTCATAACTGAACTTGTGGACCTTCCCCATCGGCCGGTTTCTTGTTCGATAAGCTGTCTGGCAATACGGGAGCTACCATATCCCATAGCGAGACACAGAGTGAATATTATGAAAAAGAATGTTTGGTTATCTAACATAACCCCAGTTCTTAGAATAATATGAGCGAGGTGTCTCGCCAGACGACCCTTCTTGCAGGGCGGCGAGAAGAGGTTTGCTTGTTGAATTGGAGTGCCGTGATCCGCACACGCTTTAGTAGTCGAAGCTACGGGGCGTGGCGTAAGACGGGCACTTTCACCGGCCAATCAGGATTGGCAGATTGAGATAAATGCTTCTATCAGGGCTGCAGGAGGCTGCATCCCATAGCAAGACACCTCGCTCATATTATTCTAAGAACTGGGGTTATGTTAGATAACCAAACGTTTTCTATATTGAGTTTGAGTATTTGTTTGGGTTGAATTGAAATATTTGTTTACTGTCTTTATTGATAAAAGTATTTCTTAATCAGCTGTTCGCTTAAAACAAATTTTCCTTTTCTTCTTGTTATCATGAAGCTGAACATCCTTTTAAAAATGGTTTCTTCCAATTAATTTCCTCCTTTATAAAAGAAACATGTCTGCCATTGTTCTGTGGTTGTTGTGGTTTGGTTGATGTCCTGCACCAGAAAAAAAAAAAAGATAAAGTTTTGTTAACTGAAAACTCTTCAGAGCATGTACTTTTCAACCAGTTTGGGTCCCACCCCCAAGCCTGCTTGGCTTCCTGACAAGCGTGTGACACAGAAGAAGGCATGAGGCCATTCACAACTCTGGATCCATCTCCTGTGTCAGGCTAAAGTTGAAGAGGTGCTGTAGAATCCCTCAGAGCTGCTCTGTACAGGCCTTTCTTATTCTGGGTGTGACAACATCTGGACAAGGTGTCTTATTCCTATCCATTCTCTCTTGCTGTCTCTTGACTTCTAGAGACAGAGGTAGAAGAGGGAGGCAAAGAAGCGGTATCATTTTCTGATTTGGCTGAAAAAAAAAAAAAACAATTAGAAGCAGGAGATTATATGGCAGAGGTGAAAGATGAAACCTTTGAGGACTAAGAGGGAAGCTTTGCTTCAAAGGATGGTGGGCTGTCTAATCATGTACAATTGAAGACAGTTTAAAGCTTTGATCATTAACGCTACTGTAAACTATAGTGAGGTTTTAGAAAATGGAGTCGTTTTAGGATGAAAGAAGTCCAATGCAGGCATTGCCCATCATCTGATAGCTCTTGTCTCCCATGACCAGCTAATCTTTATTTGCATTGAACAGCTGCATTGTTTTAGTGGTGTTTTAAATATATATTATATATCTAATGGTAACTGTCTGAAAAAGAAAAACATGCATAAATATGCACACAAAAAGCTGTCTTGTTACAATATAAATAAAAGCATATTTGTGGCTACTGAAAAATTGATAAGGTACTCCTAAATAATCAAACAATTCAAATAAAATTGTATTTAAAAAAGTATTTTAACTTCAAATGAATAAAAGCAATTTACTAAGTATGTTTTGACTTGAGCAATAATGTACATTTATGTGTCTTTGTGTGTCAAATAAAAAGCACTTCACCTATAAGCATGGGAAACAGGGAAGCACAACATGTTAGAATAAGTTAAAGACAATCTTCAGACTATGGACACACCCTAAAATATACCCCTATTTCTGGCAGAAAAAAATGTTGTAGCCTGCAAACATGAATTACCATCTTGATGATTCTCTCACCAGATGCATCGTCATGCAAACATATTGCTTTGTCTGCTGCTGAGGTCACCTTAGCCCGGACGAATGTCGGTGTGGCGTTGGGCTGTCTGCTTCTGTGATGCTATTTTCTCACTCTTGAATGTATTCCTTGAACCTTAAAATTTAAATAAACTTTTTTATTTAGACCTAGATTATTTATAAAGAATTGTAGGTGCATTTTCTAAATGCAGATCCTGGAAACCTGAGTTTGTATAAATATCAAATGAGTATTTAAAATCCATTCATTGTATCGTTGAGGCTTTTTTATGTTGTTCATATCTGATATTTTTTCAAAGCTCAGTCATTCAGTGACACCAAACCAAGCTATCTGTCTTGTATTTTGTAAATCTTGGCCCTTTGTGTGTTTTCCAATATTTGCTCCAGATTAAATATTGATTTTTATACATTTCTGAACACAGTGAAAAATGCTCCCTTGAGCTCAGCTTCTGCAGACAACTTATCATCTTTCTGATTCCTATCATTGGACACAAGAGGTGAGATTATGCATTTTATCTTTTTCCTACACCTTTTTAAAATTATGACTGTAAAGTATGCATTTTTTTCTTTTGTGGCCATGTAAGCAAATCAAGACACACAAAAAAAGAAAGAAAAAAAACGACCTTCTTATTTACTTGTTATCTCGTCCAAACATTTGGGCACATTATCAACTTTTAATAGTTAATTTGGAAGGCACAGAAGTTCTGTTTTATTCAAATATAAATGAGGTAAGATTAAATCTGAAATTGCTCAATTCTGATTAGATGTTTTCAAATGCAAATGAGAAAGACATTAATGGCAGCTCCTAGTTTGTTGTGTTCTAAAATTAATCAGAAAGTTTTGTTTTTTTCTCGGCAAGTACAGTCAATAAAAAAAATAAAAAAAAGTTAACTTTTTTTAAAATTGATTTAGTAAGCATTTAAACTATGTCATTTTTCTGCTTCTTTTATTAAGAAAACATTTGTGAAGTTCTCAGATTTAGAGAGCATTTCTGTTATTAGAAAAAAAAAAGCCCTTTTTACAGTCTGGAAAATGATACATTTCACATCTGCAAACCATTCAAAGCTCAGCTGCTAGAATCCTTATTAAATCTAGTAAACATTCCTATATGCCCCCCATTTTATAATCTGAACACCAGCTCTCAATTGATTTTGAAATTGAGTTTAGAGTTCTGGTTCTCACCTAGAGGGCTGATTATTTGTGTCGCTGTTTCTATGCCTTAATCCCAAAGCACAAATCTACTGAATAATTCTTGTACCATCCTAAAGATGACCTGGCTTTTCAGTCTGAGGCTCTTGAACTATGGAAGACTTTGCCCTTGCAAATTTACTCTATTTACTTTGTTAATGTATAATCATTATGATTAAATTCTCCTGCTGTCCCCTCTAGTTTTTTGTGTCAGATCTGAGATCCGTACCATGAAGCAGGATTACTGGCTTACCAAGGTAACTTCATGCTTTATCTCGAATTTCCTGTACTTTAAAGCTGGATTCATTCTTAGCAAGGTAAGTTAACAAGTTACCATGGAAAATTGCTCTGCATGGCAAATCTGCTCTGGGTCAGGCTAGCTTTCACGATTGATCTGAATCCTAGAAAACACTCCACTCAGCAGCCAATCAGCTATTTTGCAAGCAATGACATGCCCTTTCATTGAAGACCGATTGAATTCAAAGTACAAATTGCAGGAAGAGCGTTGAGACAGGAGCACGTCTTCCATGACCGATCTGATCCTTTGAATCACAATCACTTATATGAAACGATACAGGATTTAATGGGCCGGACTGCAATTTATATGCTAGATCCTTAAGCAGTCAGATCTGTCACAACTCAACATCAGGGTGATTTCACTCAGACGAACCATTTCTTGAATTAATATGATACAATTTTGGCATCAGCTTCAAGATTTATTGTAGCCCAAACATTATTGAAAAAAATGTCCAATTTAACAGATGAAATTATGCATTGTGTTTTATCTTTATCTGCTCCCAAATCCTCTTCACTCCCAAGGGTTTACATCTGGGAGATAAGTTTAATTGTCATACACACAATAAATATTCAGTACCCGAATTGCCACAACATTTGGCATCTCTTTGATGCAGCCTTTTTTGCACTCAGTTTTTGTCCCTCACAGGAGAACTATGGTGCTCTTGCTTCTGGGCTCAGGATTGTGATTGGTCTGCTACCTTGAACCAATCCCTTTATACAGACAAGTACACAGATTCATTA